GTGTCCCCCAAACATATATTTCCTTGCATTTAGCAAACTTATTGTGCATTACAATAAACGCTCATATCTCTGCACAGATAAGAGTCAAGAACCAATTGTTTTACAGCCATCTCCTGACCTCTTTGCAGCAAAATAAAAAAAATATCAAGTAGATTGCAAATATCTAAGATGAAATTCTTCTTTGCTATTTTTGTTGCGTCAACACCACCGTGACATCACGATCGTCATCATCGTCGTCGTCATCATCATCGTCAGCCATGATTTATTCACTGCTGCAGGATGAACGCCTCTCACAATCCCACAATGCCGCAATCCTGCGAATGAACTGATCTCATTTCTCCATCACCAGTGTTGGCCGTCATTTCGGGAGTTGTTGCCTCCTTTGGCTGCCATTCCATCACCATGTCCCCTTCTCTGAATGGGTCCTGCTCAGGTCCACTCGCTTTTCTTAATGGTCACTACAATGTCTCAAAAATGTGTTTGTTCTACGACCTATGTCTTCCTCTCATTTCTCTCACAGTTTCAATGCCAAGCATCCACCTCTCCATATGTCTTTGTGCACTTTTCAACTTTCGTTCAATATTCCTGTCCTGCAAGGGTCCATGCGTCTGATCCATATGTCACGGCAGGTACGAGGCACCGATTGAGACTTTATTATTTATAAATATTGGTAATTTGCTTTTAATAATCAAATTCGGTTTTTACAAAAGCCTTCTAACTTATTCTACATTGCCTCTTCATTTCATAATTTTGATTCTGGTCCGCATTGAAATAATTGCCCGAGGTATACACACTCAGTTGTGTTTTCCAGTTGAGTCCCTCCAATCAATTTTTCTTGTGTTTGGCGAACTAATTGTCCGCGACTTTTGCTTTGTTAATACTTATCCTTAGCCCAACATCGCAGCCTTTTTGTTTTGGGTTATTCAATCATTTTCAGTCGTTCATATCCATTGGTCTTGGGCTGGCTGTCTTGTAAAAAAGTTGCTCAGCTCAGTGGGCCTTACCAGCTGAAATAAAGCCTGCGTATATGTCACCGGCGGATCTGAGATGGAAATACTTAATTTCTGTTCATCACATTTCTTTTATCGGTCGATTTCTTTAAAATATATTTTGTGGTTGCGAATAGCCCTGGTGAGGGTGTCTTCTTGCCCGATTCCTCTTTTTGATTTGTATCTTGTTGCCTTCTTCATTCAATCTCAGTGGAACTATTCAATCTCTAGAGGCCTCAGACTGTAAGAGCTCCATCGTCTCTTAAGAGTCAGACATAACAGTAGTTGATATTCATTTAGTCTTGTCCAGAATCTGATTGATAGTAGAGAAGCAATTTATTTTCTAAAACCAGCAAGCTCATGCCATTGGCTGGCTTCTAAATTATTAATTAAACGGTTCTCTAAGATCTTCGTGAATAATTTATATACATATACTGCAATGTGAGGCTATCTCATACAAGAAGAAGAATTTACAGCCCATTGTCAATCCACGTCTGGACGAAATCCTCCACACACTGTGGGATATGTTGCACTTTACTTCACCATGGTGATTAGTGCAGACTGGTGAAGAGGGGGGCCTGCTCGCATCAGTTCAGATATCACTAACCACTGATGTTAGCTGTGGCCGCGAGTTGTTCAAGGCAAACTGCTGGGTCCGTAGCACAATGTGTGCACCAATGGGCCACGACCATTCAACGCCAATCGCAAACGAATGGCTCTGTCGTTGAAATCGGCATGAAAATCATTAATGTTGAAACAAAGTGGGGATATAATCTTCCCTGAAGAATTTAGACTTTATTTATAACATTTTCAAAGCTATGTGGCACACACTTTCACCTATCTGGACTTGTGCAGTTGCAAATAATTTAAACACTCTGTGCTTTTGAAAAATATTGTTTTTTTTCTGAATGGAAAGGGCAGGGCTATACAAAAGAGTACTCTAAGTTGAATTGAAACTCAATTACAATATTAAAGCAATGCATTCCACCAGCTATTATGAAATTCTATTTTAAAATATCTATTGGAGGAGAGGAGTTTCTGGATATTGTCTCCTTGGGGAACCAGATCATGTTCTTGAACAGGAAACATTCCTGGTGTAACAACCCCGAAGATGCTTATTGATTCAACGTCAAGTGAAGGAGTGATTGTGGTCAATGTAATAATTACCGTGGAATATGCTGAATTGTAGTTTGAGGTGAGCTGCAGAACTCTGCAATCCTTATCAGAATGAAAGATGTTGCGGATAACATTCTTATTCTGGAATGACATGGATTTGGGCTAAGGAGGGATGTACAAACCAGATATTTGCCCCCGAGACAAATTGTGGAAAAAATGTTTAGAATTCCACAAAGCAAGAGGTCTTGATTTCAACTTATTTCAGATGTTTAGTTAACTTTCATGTAGGAAACCAATTTAATTTGTTGTACTTATCAGTGTGTTGAGATTCGTATGAGATAATATCAATGATTGGAAGGATTCCCATTACAATGCGAAGAAATGGATTTCATACCGTGTCCAAATGACCTGCATCTCTCACAGTGATACTGAGCCAATGGGGTCTGCAACAAATCAGTGTCGTGACCAAGTATTTGAAAAAGATAATCCCTGATGTCATCCGTGTCTCTTTAGAGAGAGAAATCTGGATACAAACAAAGCAGAGCATTTTAAAATAAAAATGTTGAAGCCCACAAAATGTGCATTTTGCTGTAGGTTTCACTTTGCAAAACAAACAATTCAAATTCGAAATAAATAAAATTGTAATTGTGTGTTAGCCTGTAAGGGTTAATATATTATATTTATTCATATTGAAATCAATGATTACTTTTGTGGAGTTCAAATTTTAGCTGAAGAAAGTAACGTGGCGATAATAAAAAAATATATAAGGTCAGTAAGAGATTATTGCAACTTGAGAGTGAAAATAGTTTGAGCAAAGAACTAGTCCCAGACAACTGTGGCCTATTTTTTTTACTTCTGAATTGAGCGGTGGAGGAGCAGCAGCACAGACATTTGCACACTGTGCTATAAATCCGGCGGCCTGAGTTTGATTCACAGCTATGGATATCATCAGTGGCGAGTTAACATCTGTACCAGTCTTTTGCACTATCCACCCCTACTGCTGACCAGCATGGTGAAGTATGGTCAAACAACCCCCATATGACTGACACGATATGCGGAGCAATCATTTATCCAGAGATTGATTGACAAATAGCTAAAATTATACCTACTAGAAATAACAGGACGATATAGCAAAAAATCTTGTTGTACTGCACTTCTGCGTTGTGCTAATTTGTGCACCACGCCTTCACCAACACGCACTGGCCAGCCTGGCGAAGAATGGTCAAACAACCCCCATGATGAACATGGCATGGGGAGGCTTCCATCCAGCAGTGGATTGACAATGGGCGACCATACATTTGGTTGTTCGCTCAGCAGCCTTGTAACCGCTTGGCCATGTTACGGCGCATTGAAAACTGTCGTTATAACTATCACATTATTACGTTATTCAGTAAACACTGGCACTACGCATACACTCTCTTTAAGATGCCTCTATCGGTGCACAATGTCCATGTTTTCCCCGCAAAGCACGCAAAGCGGATTTTTGTTTTTAATTCCTCGCCGCCGATGGGTTGCCAATGGATCTGCGGCTATTTGCAGGGAGTCGCGGTTGCGGATGCTTCGGGCCGCCTCTCGTGCTGGGAAAGCTCAGAGACGCAGAAGGGTGCAGCCGCTTGCCAGTTCCACAGACGCAGAGCCGTGGCGTTTCACCCCTTTGTGATTTGTCGAGGCCAACTCGCGCATTACTCTCCCCCAGCTGCGTTCTTCCCTGCCAGAATCCATCAGCAGCCGCTCCCCACGGCTATAATTTTTAAGGGGCCTGGTATTGTTATTTTTAGGATTTGTCGAACATATTGAATAAATATGCGATGCTTCGCACAATATTAAAATTGATTTCCCTGGCCTGTCATGTTCTAACAATTAGGGCAAAGGGTGCACCCTTTGCTGCAACTTTGCATTCTAAACTGGGGTCATTAATTCATCGTTGTGCTGGCCATGATCGTGCGAGGCACTGTCATGCAGGCTCAAAATGTTTGCTCAGTCTAAATGGCTGCTGCTTGCAGGCTTTGAGTCTTCTTTATTCATAGACAATTGAATTAATGCCTCTTTACTTCCAATGGGGGGGGGGGGGAGTAATGGTAGAGCGGTTAGTGCACTGTGCTATACACCCGCTGTTAAATTCCCGTCGACCGCTAACATCAGTAGTAAGGGATGTCAGGCCTTCACCCATTGGTGGATGGAGAATGGCTGTATACGTTTTATTTTAATTTACGTTCACTATTTAGTATATACGTGAACGCAAGTCTTTCGTCGATTTAAAAATGTATTTTGTTAACATGACAGCCCAATCTACGATTTGAAGTAATGTGTGAAAATGTCAACATTGTGGTTGAATAAAAGACGCGTTATCAATATTTCTGATCTTTTGTCATTTTTGCCGTGGGATAAAACCAATCAATGTTTCCACTGCCTTTACACAAACGCAATGTTCCTGGTGTAGCCGTTGAACATGAAATATGCACTTTTGAGCACAGATTGGCAGTCGAAAGAGCTCCTCCAGAAAGCGCACAGCCTTTGTGTACATTCTCCATGAGACTCTTTGGGAATTTCGCGAGCCTACCATTAAATTTTCTTAAAAAGTAAGTCTTCACTTTTTCTTCATTTTTGTTTTGTTTATGCTGGCATGATTAGTCCTGTAAAATAAAGAAATTCTTGAAGGTGTAGGAGTGGGGAGGGGGTGGGGAGTGGGCGGGGGGGGGGGGAAATCAGATGCACAAACAGAAACAAAACAGTGAAAGGAAATCCGCATTAAGACAAAACCGTTTGAGGGACAACACCAACCAGAGCGTGGGGGGGGGGAAGCACAAAAGTAGAGGAAGCTTTGGGGCAGGAGACAGAACGGTTCATGAAAACCCTTGGCCAGGACATCTCGCGATGCCGGGAGCAGATGTTTACCCATCAGCAGGCGACGCGTTCCCCGCTTGTCCACATCAACCACCGAGGTGGCATTGAACTCAGTGCTCTCAATAGCAGCCTCACTCCTTTCTAAAAACACAAACGGACGTCAGAACAGCAATTAACAGGAAGCTGAGGGGCCCCATTTTGTTACGCTAAGCTGCAGACTTGGTCGGATTCACCGCATTCGGTTTTTGTTTGTCGTGAGAGAAAAACATTATCGTCGAATTCACCGTTTACGGACTGTCGAATGACGTCGTGACGTTAAAAGACGTTTCGCTAACTTTTTGAAAGGGCCTCCTCAGAATTTGGTGTACATGTAGCAGCTGGGCTATGTTGTTAAGCGCTAGAGAATGTTATGGCTGTAAAAAAAATAAAGAGCTGCGCTGAATTCTTCCAGCACAAATTAAACTCAAAATTTTAAAATAAATAAACAACAATGCATAAAAGGTGAATGGATGATGTTTGATCTACAAGGGAAAAGCCTAGGCTTAAGGCCTGGCCCAGTACACTATGGGCAAGCATGCATGCCAGGAGCCAAAAGCAAGGATGCATTTTAGTTTTGGTTCTAAGAGAGCCTGACAGAATAAGAGGCTGAAAGAGGCAGAGGACTGAAAGCAGCACAGTTAAAGCATTAAATAATGACGATGAAGATGATAATAATATAACGATAATAAAAGAACAAAGAATGATCGTGCGGGATTAGACAAAAGTTGCTTTAAAAGCAGCACTGATTGCCCTGCTTGTCTTTTGCAGAAATGCCACTCAACAGCCAACTTTGATCCAAATTGCCTACTACTCATGCCAAGAGATTAACAATGCCCCCGACCTATGTAGAATGCAAAGAGTGTAAGGGAAAGGTGTTTTAAAGATTACGATAGGTCACAAATCGGTGTCACACACACACAAAAAAAATTGGGTGCACTGTGTGCTGTGAGGTGCTAACAGTCCAGCGTTTTGGCCTGAAACATTTCACAAAGTCTGATAACTCAAAAAACGCCAAGGTTGGTCTTTGAGTCAATCACACTGCAGGTGATCATTTAAATCACATCGATTAAATTGCCTTTTAGATTTTTTTCTTGACACTTTGTTTGCCATTACAGTTTTTTTTAAGATTCACAATCTTGACCAATCAAAGTAAAATAAATGTTCAGTCAATAAAACTCTCTCATATACAAGCAATACTGGAATTGTAATTATATGCCTGGACATGTCAGCATCATCATGTAACAAAAATATAAAAGAGAAAACATATACTAACAAAAATGTAAGGCCCACCGCATATGAGCCACTGCTGCAGAAGTTAAAGCCAAGCCTAGGTCACATCATGCAGTTAGCGCACATTGAAAGAAGCATCTATGTACAGTGATGTGGAGGGGAGGGAGGCTTGCATTGGTGGGGTAGAGTGAAGGATGTAGGGGAATGAAGAAAGCCATCTGATGAGTCGACAGTTAGACGCTATCATTTTCCTTCTGCCTTTTTGTTAAGCTACATAATGTTACGTCGTCTGCAAGAGGGTGCGTGTGGGACTTCGTGGGTGAAGATCGCACAGCTTTATTTCTTTTAACTCTAGCTATTTTTTAAAAACTCGTACGTACGAAGCAAAGAGGTGAGCGATGGGCGTGTGCGTAAGAGGTGAAAATGGTGAGGGGAAGAGGGGAAGGCAAATCAGCATGGGTGTCAGGTGGGTGGAGCGGTGGTGAATTTAGCCTTAGCCTAACTATCACTCGGTTAATAAAAGTGGTGGATTATGTGACGAAGACAATCTAGCCACACCCCTAGCATGCTACATGTACTTTTGATCCCAAATAGAGTGTCGACTGCAATTGAGAGCCTCAATGTTTATGAGATAAGCAAGGGGACGCAGGCATCTGCACCCGTTTGAATTTATTTAATTTTATACTTTAAAAAACAATGAGTTTGTTTTTGTTATGTTGGGGGGTTCCAAATTCGTTTTTTTTTCTGGTTCGTTTTTTTTTCCTTCCGAAACAAATTCCTCAAAACGGGTTGAGGTTTCAGCAAGAGACAAGGCAGGCAATCAGCACCATGGGGCTGTTACCGTGAGGAGGCAGGTACAGAGAGAATCACAGCAGGAAAGAAAGAAAGGGTGACCTTAGGAAAAAATATTATAAAATTTAAAAAAAAAACTCGTTCTGATGTCTACAACAGATGCTGTGAATTTTTAAATAATAATTAAATACATAGAGAGAAACAAAATACGCGACTTTAAAATAAGAGGAAATAACAAACACACTGGTTTGCATGAGTGGGCAGCGGGGGTTGGCGTTACTCAGCTAAAAAAAACCGCCGTGCTTGGAGAAAACACAAAACATTCAGGCTTAGGAAACGAGCTTGGAATCTTTACGCTAAGCTTCCTACTTAAGCAAATGTTTTTTACACACGGCGAAAGCCGCCCGCCTTAAAAGATATTTTTTAAAAGCCCCCACCAAAAGCTACCGCACAAACAACAACAAAAAAAACACGTGAACTTTCTGTGCGCGCTTGAAAGGAAACATTTCTTCGTGCAACAAGAAATTTAGCAGGAACCGTTTACAAAAACAATTATTGGTCATTGCCATATTTTTTTGTCCCTGGGTTTCTTAACCGAATGTGTTTAAGAGGCAGAAAGTTGCGAACAAACGGTAAGTCTCGGGGTGTATGGGCATCTTGCTAAGATTGTTTTCCTTTTGCTAATTTGCTTTGGCACCTGGCTGGCTATACCGATCGCAACCTCTATTTTCCATTCATTCGCGTGTTGCCTCCGTTGCTTTAAGTTAGCAAAACAAAAATAATTGCAATAACGAGGTAAATTCAAAGTGAAATCCATAAAGTAATGTTTGAATGAGTGAAAGCAAGTCCTGACTGTGCCACTATTTATAAAGACCCGTTTTAAAAAAAAGTATAAAAACTATTGTAAACCATAACATTATTCTGGAAGTCATATTTTTGGCGATTGTTTTTTTCAAAGTTGAAAGTCCCATTAGCCACGTATAATGACTTGTGGTTCAGTCTTGTCATCACATGCATTGTGTGATACATCAAAATAAAACGCGTAACTATTTCAAACTTGTGTAAAAATTTGATTTTTGAAATCACCATTTTTATTTATGGAGTGCCAAACAAAATAACGTTGAAAAAGGAAAATCGTCATTTTTGTCACAATTCCTAAAGGTGTAAACGCCACATCTCCTGGCTGAATCTGGCCGCGATTATGGAACACAAGCAGTAAACAGCAGCAGCAAATATAATCTTTAGCAAATCATGCATCCAATGCCACGAGATAAAGATTATTATTCCTCCATTCCTTAGGATATATTTACAAAATACAATAACCAATCCCGTAAAACGGAAGATATGTGTACATTCTAGTGGCACCCTTATCGTAACAAACACATATAAACATGCGCTACCTATAATAGAGATAATGTAATGCGTATAAAACTACTGCAATGTTAAGAATCTAACATGACTAAGTGAAACAATCTCCTAAGCTAGACTTCCTCTCACCACGAAAAAAGCACATTCCGATTTGCTGATTGGCTCATCTGACAAAATATTTTGGTTAAGATTTGGTCAATGAATCAAGAATGAGAGGTGGCTTAGTAAAGCTTTAGTGTGAGGTATGGCATGATGCAGCATTGTCAGTAAACAAGACTTTGATTGAGAAAAGAAAGACTTTGGTTAAAAACTATGCCTTACCAATTGTTAAAAGCCTTGGCCTTGTCCTGCCCACCAACACAGCTAGCACCAAGATAATAAAAAGCTTTCATGTCATCTACATCTCGTTCAAGAAATCTTTTTTTTAAATACAGGTATAGACGCATTTAGAAAAAAATATTATTTATTTCTTAATCTTTTTAACAATTTATCAGTGATTGGTGAAACCAGTATCTAAATAAGACTGTACCTTGACTTGCATCGGAAACCCTGTCCTCTCCTCTCTTTCTGCCTACGTTATCTGTATTTCAATAAAAACATCCGCCGTTAGTCAATACGGCATAGAATGGAGAATATAAGAGAGAAAAAAACCAAAACAATCGACCAGTGTTTGTTTTTTTTTGCTTTAACGAACTTTCTCGCCATCAAAGACAGAGCGGCTCAGAGCCGGCGTGTGCCCGTGGCCTGCGTCCGTGCGCCACTTACCGATACACGTCTTCCCGTCGGAGTGCAGTGCGTAGTTTTGGTGGCAGCCGCATACAGGGCCATCATCCGTGTCGTCACAAGCATGATGGCACCCTCCGTTGCCGTGGTTACACGTCACTGCAGAGCCAAAGGACCCCCCCCCCCCCCCCCCCGCCCACCCCCACCACCACCACCCCGCCCCCACCAGCACCCACCAGCACACCCGAATGCCCCCCACAGTCATCGCAACCAAGCGTCAGAAGAGAGGACACAAAATGAGGTAACTTTCACATATTGTACAGGCACACGTTGGCTTGTTTATGTTCCGCTGGTGCAATGTGAAAGTGTATTCGTGTTAGCTTTCGTGCGTTCATTGCCGTGTTTCGGTGAACATACCGCGCCTCCGATTGAAACACGATGGAGTATTGAAGAGAGGAAACATGTGTGGTCTATTTGACACGGCGTGCGTAAATGCGTTACGGTAACTTGTGCTGTTTTGTTCCAACCGTTGCACGATGTTTGTACAATTCTGCCATCATATCGCGTCAGAGAAAATGCTTCATTTATCTCAGCTGAAGGTCCGGCAACTTCATTCTGTATGTGCTGTCATGCTTGAGTACATGATAGTGCTTAGTTGCAGTGCTGATCAGCAACTTAAAAACACAGCCCCATGGCACACACACAAAAGGAAATCATCGGTACTTTTAGACATCTGATAGAAATTTTTTAAAAAATATTGAGGGTCATCATGGAGGATCATGGGTATCACTGTTGATGAGACCTAGAAAGGTTAAAAACCAGCCCAGTGTTTTGTCTGTAAATCAAATGCTGCTGTAAAGCACATGTCCATGATGCCAGTAGACTGATGGCTGAAAGACTGTTTCATTTCTTTCAGAAAAAAAGGTGTTTATTTGTTCATATCATATTGTCTGAATAAGTGTTTGACATATTGTCTGGTTGTACCTCAATGGCAAATATCACACCGTCTTGCTCCGTGCCAAACAAGCCGAGGAAGTTATGCCATGTGATGTCGAACATTGTGAGTGTGCACATACAAGATTCTTTAAAAATGACCTTAGCTGCTTAAGAACAGAGACTTTATGAAATATTCTCGTTGTGAGGGGCTGGCACTGCACAACCCGTTTTAACAGGCTGACTAAAAGCCACGGACACATCAACATCACTGACATCATTTTAATATCTGCTGCGGCCTGCATATGCATGAGCCGCTCACATATGTGCCACGTGCTGCGGCTAACCACCTTGTTCAGACCCAGGGAAGTTTACACCATAACCTTGGCCTAGGCCACGACAACTTTCAGGTGCAAATGGTGCATATGCAGTACGTATATCTTTTTTTTCCCAAGAGGGTGGAAGATGGATGTAGGGAAGTGGAAGATGGGTTGGTGAGCTCGCTGGACAAGTGGAAGAGCAAGCAGGGGCAGTGGAGATAAAATGTAATGATCATGCACCGGCTAGACATTTTATCCGTATATTCCACTCTTTGTGAAATTCAAGAAACTGTAAGCCCCACTACTGCGCAGCTTTTTATTTTTATTTTTAACCGTTGTGCCGCATAGCTCACTGATGTGTTTTTTTTGTCGCCGTTCGGCACGATGCTCGACCTAATTTTTTTTATCTTACTGCGAGCTTCGAGCTCCCTGCACGTTTCGCAAAATGTTTGGATATTGTGCCGAATAACACGTGGACAGCCCTAAAAACCCATCGGACACTTTTAAGCTTTGGCAGGAATATATGTTAGCAGGTGCACTGAGAACTTTTGCTGTATGTATATATGCATGTTGAACTTCTTTCGCACCGCACGTGGCCAACCGTGCTCATCAGAAGGCAAGATCCAGAGGCACGCCTGCCTTTCTCCTAACCTCCAATCTCACGCCACTAAACTCAGCGTGGGCCAAACTCATTCCACCCGCCCATCTTAGCCCAAATGGTTGCTCTGTCCTGCCCTCCCTGCCGCCCTTAATACCACCACCAGTTCCCCTAATACCACCACCAGTTCCCCTAATACCACCACCAGTTCCCCTAATACCACCGCCAGTTCCCCTAATACCACCAGTTCCCCTAATACCACCACCAGTTACCCTAATACCACCACCAGTTCCCCTAATACCACCACCAGTTCCCCTAATACCACCACCAGTTCCCCTAATACCACCACCAGTTCCCCTAATACCACCACCAGTTCCCTTAATACCACCACCAGTTCCCCTAATACACACCAGTTCCCTAATACCACCACCAGTTCCCCTAATACCACCACCAGTTCCCCTAATACCACCACCAGTTCCCCTAATACCACCACCAGTTCCCCTAAAAGCAGCAAGGCCCCCACGATAAATGTCACGACGGTCGCCAACCCCTGCGTGGCGGCGGCGGCGGCGGTGGCGGGGCCCGTGTTTTATGCCTCTATTTCAAAAGGTATTGACGCAAGCGGAGTGCCGGACACAATGGGTGAAGGTCCTATTGACTCACGTAGACAGTCGCGCTTGTTCCGTGCCAGCTCAAAGCCTGGCCGGCATTCGCATGCCACTCCCTCCTTGGGCGTCTCGATGCAGATGTGCTGGCAGCCGTGGGCCTTGTTCATGCAGTTCATGCCTTCTGAACAAGACAGGGGCAACGGAGTAAGTTTTAATGCTCAGCTTGGTAAACACACACACACACACACGTGTTCGCATGCCACGACAATGCTGGAGCTGAAATTAAAATGCATCAGTCGATCAACATTTTAATTGTTGTTATGTAACTGGGAGATCAAATAAACCCTATTTGAGGCACATGATACAACGGTGCCTCTTTGGCAAGGGCGACCTGGGATACATAGAAACATTTTAAGTACACAGAATATGAATATTTTAAAAAGGTAAACGTTTAACAAGGCTAATCTAACTTTAAAAACAAGCATTTAATACAAATGTGAATCAAGATAAGTGAGACGATGAAACGCACCCACAATTTTGAAGACGTACGAAAAATTTGATATAATTTCTGGAATAAAATTGACGAACGATAGGCAGGCAAGTACAACATCCGCATAACCGACTCGCTGGTGACCGATGCATAGTCAGATATGTGAAAAGGTCAGATGTGATAACGTGTAAAGAAAATTACAGTTGCACCGCACGGCACAAATGCTGCACTGGGTGTGGGTGGTTAATTTTCCCGGGGCGGATAAGTGACGGTCAGATGTGTGACGTACTATACTAAATCACGTGAAGCAAAGACAAACATTCAACGCCCCTGCAGATCTACATACTCGTGCCCAGCATTATGCACTAACTTAAAACAAATTATACTCTGGACCAGAATGATTCCCTCACTTTTTTTTTATTTATGCATATGTGAAATGTTGTTCAAGCAAAAAAGCTCCAAAAAATATCGATAATAATAATAAGATGTGACCTTGTTACCTAAAACACAGGAAACGCGTTTATTTTGTTGTATATAGAACGGGAGTGGTTTTGGAGAACGTGGATTAATTCCATCATTTTTTATTCTATGAGCATTAAACACCTGGCCCATTACATAATGCAACAGGAATGACATTCACTGTTTTGCGTTGCTAAAAAAAATCGTTGGTAAATAACATTTAAAAAATAATATGATTCCATAATGAATCTCACCGTTGCAGCTACTGGAATTATGATGAATGTGTCCACGGTTTAAAACGTTATTTTAGCAACTGATCCCAAATATTTGGAATAGGTTTTTTTTAGCATCATGCTTCACGGATAAGTAAAAAAATGCCTATGCAAATATAGAGTAACATTTTTACACGAAACTTTTGCAATATAAACAATTTTCATCAGAGCGTGCGCACTGTGCACTGAAGTATTTATTTACAAAAACAATTTTCACGCGAAGCTCATAGCAAAAGAAAGTAAATTGTTTTGACGAGACGTCTACGGCTTCCCTGCTGGAAATAGACACAACCCCTAGATACGAATCCTAAACAAATCTATAAGTCTGCCCTAAAATGCCGGCACCCCCCTTCTCCCCCCCACCACCCCCCACGACCCCCACTCCAATCATCGCTCCCTTCCATTCTCCCCGGCGAAGAAGACAAGGGCCGATTGTAGCCGTTTTCAGCTGGAGGAGTGGAGAAAAGTCGAGCTTGGCTACAGCTCTGTCAACTTCAATCTCAGTCTGTTTATGCGCAGATAAAGAGCCCACGTTACCTCCCCTCTAGCATCGTCCCAGCCCAATGATTCTCCACCGATTCTCCCTCACCACTACCCCCTTCGCAAGCCTCCACATGCCGAACAGGCACGAACGGACATTGCAAGCCGCTGACCAAACAGCCCGACAGCCCAGCTCGCTCTCCTCAAGCCAGCCGCTAGTGGAGGCTCGTGTCAAGTACGTCGCAAGTACATTGGCGATGACAGCTATTTTATTTGGCGGGTTGCAGCAGTGTGGCATGAGGAGTCTTGCTGCAACAGCTGTAGCCATGCCCCCCGCATGCCATATCGCTCGACTGCACAGGAGATGCAGTGAAGAATGACAGTTTCAAAGAAGCAGCAGCAGCAGCAATGCGCTTGAGAAAATATATAACGGATTGAGAACGGCTCCTGCGCCAAACATCATCTGATTCCTTTCTTGTTGAGTGAAAACCTCTTCATTTGTTTTGCATGCCCCGTTTTTATTAACCTCTGTATTGCGGCTGAAGAAACACACGTATAAAGTGTTTGTTTAGGCAAACCGCATTCATCCAGAAATTTACTGCACGCAACTATTTATGACCACTCTGTCCTGCGGCCATAATTCACAAATTTTAAACAAATGATAGCGTTTCCTACTTTTAGGTGGTTTAGCCGCGCAGTCCAAAGGATTTCAGCCTGCTGAGAATATGTCAACAAACACCTTTAAAAAAAATATTCCACACAAGAGAACAATTGTCAGGCCATATTTTCTTGCATGCCACCGCACCATATAAAATTGATAATTTTTTTATTTTAAGCGTTTAATAATATTCTCTCAAGGTTTATACAATGATGAGGTTTTTTTGTGTCAAAGTGTGGTAAGCGTTTTAATAAAGGTCATATAAGCGTCAGGCACACCGCATTTCAAATTGTTTGGAACAGAATGTGCATTTGGCGACTCTTCAGACAGGGCGATGTTATGTTTGGTTATCCGGAGAGTCCTGTTAGCCTCGTGTTTTCCTTTCCCATCCATAACTCTCCTTTCTGGCCTTGGTAGGAGTAAAATAATATTAAAGGTGCTTTTTAAATATATATCTTTTTTTAAAGAGCCATTTACTTATTAAAATCGAAGTTTTACATATTTATTTAAGCTAAGTACATTTAATTATTTACCTTTAAAGTATTATTCGGAGTCAGCAGAGCGCCGCTGATGCGACCTTGAGAAAAACGCGAGCCTCCTTGAGGGGACACAATGCCATCTGCTCTGTGCCACTCTGGCCAAGGCCATTCTGAATGCGCCGCCCGATCTCACGTGATCTTGGAAGCCGAGCACCGAAACAGCCTGGTTCGTACTTAGATGGGAGACTGCTTGGCAGCACCTAGTTATTATAGATAGATCTGGGCTCCGCCGTGGCCAGGAATTTGCGGTTAGAACAATGGGTCCACGGATTTATCCGTGCGCAGTTTTGGGTTGCGTCTGACGTAGCCAGTTAATAAGGTTTGTCACGTGAACAAAACATGCCAATTCGTTACTAGTTCATCAACACCAGTGTGTTGGACAAACCTACTAACTAGCTGTGTCGGGTGGTGGCGGGTTTAACGACACAGTTATATTTACGAAATGTAACCTAAAAAAAAACAACGGAAAATGGATGATATTTGTCCCGAAAGCCTACGTGTTAAACTCATTTAATTAAAAGAATCAAACATCCCAATGCAGCAGGACAACTCTTGGGGAAAGAGTCTTGAGACTCGGTGATGCTTTCCTGGGTGAAGGGAGAGCAATTATTATTATTATAAACATGGCTCTCTGTGCCCATGTGCAAACAGCTGTCTTATACATGGAGTGTTCAGTTACCTCAATTAGCCACACCTGGTGTTGGACATTGGGAAAACGAGGAGCATATGGAAAGTGTAGCTCAACTCCTCTCGCTTACGCCCTTCAACGGGCAGTGGTGACGCTACCCTGTCATAGTGATCTCAGGTTGGAGATCCTCTGACGTTCGTAACGCTAAGAGATGAGAAACATAGCTCAGAACAACCGAGCTCTTCTGAATTATTATCATAAAACAGGTGCCTCTGATACCCAAATACACATTGGATATTTTGAACAGGGTAAATAACATTCTGTAACAATTAAAAGAAAAAAATATACTCATTTAGAATGTTGCCTAAGTGGATTTCCACTTAGGCAACATTCTAAATGAGTATATCCACTTCACGTCTTTGACAGCTTTTTAAAGCTTAAGAGTAAAAAAATATAAACAAAGATGAAAATATCAATTTTTTAAAGATTGCCTGACTTCTCATTCTTTTTTTCTCTTTTTTTTTGCCTTAAGACATCGATAGCCGGCAATCATTCATAAGTGAGTTTGTCTGAACTTTGCAGGGAGTTCCAAGATTTCACTAAAATTGGTCGATTCCCCGAAGATAAATCACCACAATAAGACGAAGGGCCAGCCAATAGCCCCCTCTAGAATGGCAGCCAAAGGCCCCGGTTTACAAAGAGGTCAAAAGGCATATTCCTCGCAGCCAAAACAAGATCCAGCCAAGGAACACAAGAAAACCCACTTTTTTTCCCTCCCCTTTCCCCCCTCGGCCTTAGCCGAGATATTTTCTCCGCTCGCTGCGTTACAAAAAAAAACAACCCTGCTCTTCCGTGTACCATTTCTTACTTGGTATTTAAAAAAAAAATTTGCCTCGCGTGCAAATTAAAATACGGTTCCAACGTTGAGTAATGTTTTAAATGGCTGAACAAAAAAAATAATTACATGATGGAAATGCAATTTCCGTGTTTAATGTGGAAAAATGAAATGAATATTGGCATGTGTACAAATGTAATGCTTGATGTCTTCTGTAATATTTTAAATGTCACGGTTTACTTGCCGCTACTTGCACATATATTTCATTTATGTAAAATAGAGCAAAACTTGTTTTTCCTACTCTTATATATAAAGGATTAACGCAAAGTTGCCGTATATCTTCATTACAACAGAGAGCACAAATTTACTTTTTTTAAAATATTGGCAAATTCTCGCAGTGATCTCTTGATGATATTAAATCGTCTTAGAAACATGAGGCTACGTGCACTGCAATATATCTTTCAACTAAACCACGAGTGCACATCCAAGTTGGCACTGACATTTAAACACGAATGTAATACGCATCAATACAATGACGACATTTGTGAACATAATTCTCTGCACAATTTGGACATTATAAAACAATAATTTACAACCCATTTGTTAACTGACCGCTGGATGATGACCTCCCCACACTGTTGGAATCATGGGAGCTGTTCGACCAAACTTCATCATGCCAGCCAGTGTAGGATTGCTGAAGGGGGGACGCAGGATCGGGTCAGACATCAGTCGCACTGAAGCTATCCGAGACCGGGAGTCGAACTCGGGTTAGAGGGTTGATAGCGCAGCGCGCTTACCCACTGCATCACCGCTCCACGAT